GCTATTGAATGGATCCTTTCCTGGTCAGAGAACAGCTTGATTTTTTAAAATATATTTTTATTTGTTTTTAAACAATCATTTACAACAATAAACATCACAAGCATTGAACAAGCAATAGCAAGCAACAACAAGAGGATCAAGTTGGATTATAAACTAATCATTTAACAGTAGAAACCATTCTGACACTCTCGAACCTTCATCAACCAATAAATAAGGGTAAGGAATGCTGGTAACTGCACTGCCTTTGTCAATTAGGAGAACATGAGGACTAGATTAGAGCTAGATCTCAGATATAGAAGAATTCTGTGTGCGTTTCATTGTACGTAAAAAAGAGAACTAGAGTAGCTAGAAGAAAAGCCAAGAAGAGTAAGCTATATTAGTAGGAAGAAGTTCTGCCTCTGTCATATACTGCAGCCACGGAAACTACGTGCGGACAAATTTTGAATAGGTCATGGTCAGTGTTCCCTCTAAGCTGAGTTAGTGTGAGCTAGCTCACAGTTTGATAGCCTCCAGCTCACATATTTTTGTCTTTGCTCAGGAAGGACGGCTCCAGAGCAAACTAATTTATGCAGCAGCCACATCACTGGCTCACAACTTTCATGCCAGCAGCTCACAAAGCAGGATTTTTGCTCACAAGACTCCACAGTTTAGAGGGAACATTGGTCATGGTAATACTAGATCGTTGTCTTTGAAGTGAATCAGAGATTTTACACATAATAAACTGGTCCCAGACTTTGTTTCTCCAGCTTGATTTGAGAATGTCTAATGCATTTGTATTTCCAGTCATTTTTATTTTTATTTATGACGCGTTTCAGTTTGGGTGACCGGGTCTGCACTGAGATCCTGACTCGTCTCTCCACCTGGCATTGTTAGTAAGCGCTTCCATTCCTCTGACCTTCACATATTCTAAATCTCCCCTCACCAGGGGTTGCTCAATTATTCATAAACATTGGGCTCTTTTCTTCGTTATGTTTACAGTGTTGAGTCGCTTCCAAACCCTATCATTAGTATTGTGCGCAGTGTCACATGACGTCACACACCGGGTTCCTCTGACCTTGCATCAGGGAAGGATGGTTTTGTGCAATAATCCAAAGCACTTGCTGCACACGTCTGTCTGGATTATTTTTCTCATTTTAGAATTTTAACTCTCCTCGATCTGAGCATTCGGAGGGGTTAGATAAAACAACTAGTTCATATCCCTAGCGGATGGGGGAGAAACTGGTCCAGAGTTGAAGTATTTTAGGGTAGGAGCAGGGGTCATTTCCTGCAGGAGCGCACAGGAGCGGAGCTCCGGCAGTAAGGAGCCCAGGGGGCGGGCACATGCAACAAGCCCTGCCCCCTGCTCCCAGCAGCCCTTGGGCCACGAGGAGCAAGAAGCAGCCAGGTAAGTTGCAGAGCCCCCCCCCTGGCCCACCTTCAGGTACAACCTCTGTGAGGACAGATCTGCACATCCCACCCCCCATAGCTAGCAATCCAAAACAGTCCAGTGGCACCTTTAAGACCAAGTTTTATCTAGGTACAAGCTCTCCCTCCTCTGCGAGGACAGATCTGCACGTCCCTCCCCCCTCCCAATAGCTAGAAATCCAAAACAGTCCAGTGGAGCCTGAGCGGTGGGTGTTGCCTTCTGACACACTTCCAGTGATGTCAGGGGGTGTGGCATATGCAAATCAATTATGCTAATGAGTTATGCTAATGAGTTCCTGCACCTCTTTTTCTACAAAATTACCCCTGGGTAGGAGCACATGTTTCACTGCTTTTTTGCAGAAAAGACAGCCAGTGTGGTGTAGTGGTTGAAGTGTTCTCTGTTTTTTCCTCTCAGCAACCCTGTGAAGTATGCTATGCTGACAGTATGTGCTTGGGCCAAGGTCACCCAGCAAAGGATGCAAACCTCGGTCTCCCAGATCCTAGTCCAACACTCTTACCCAGGGGTCCCCAAACTTTTTGAGCCCGATGGTGCCTTTGGATTTCTGACACAGCATGGCGGGCATAGCCACAAAATGGCTGCCGCGGAAGCCACAAAAAGGCTGCTGTAGCTTATCTTCAGTCACACAGCAAAGATCCTTGTGTTATGGTTGGGGCTGTTGCCAAAGCAACATTTTTTAAAAAATCAGCACAGCCGATCAAATCTCCAGTGACCAATCAGAAGCCTTGCTGGGCACATGCCCCACTTGGCCCCACCCACTTTCTAAAAACACTTGGTGGGGACCAGGGAAGGTGTTAGTGGGTGCATTGGTGCCCATGGGGACCCATGCGCTAACCACTGAACTGTTCCATTTCTCCAAGGAACTCGGGTTGGTGTTTCACGACAAGGGGTCATGGGGAACCTAAGGGTGGCGGGTGTTTACTGGAGGAACTTGTTCATTATGAGTTGATACCAACTTCTCAACTTAAAAATAATGAATAATGTTTCTTAATCAAGGGAGATCATGTCCGGTCATAGACCTAAAGTAAGCTCAGAAAGTTTGGCTTAGCAAGAAGGTTATTTGAGTTTCTGTTGATTATGAAGAAATCATTTATCCATTAATTTCTTAGAATCCCCACTGGACAAGGATGGCTGTCCTACAGCTTCTGGGTTGCTGAGCTGATGCCACGTTTCCTGGTTGTCCAGAGTGCTCTAAAAGGACCCTGTCTCCTCTTTATCTCAAATCATGTTGCTGGGCAAATAAATCCAACCAACCATCAAGGGCTTCACTAGTAATAAGCAAAGTAGTAGGCTCACAGCCAGTGTGTCATTGACACTCCTTTCGCAACCCTGCACAGCTTTCAGTCAGGCCCGTAGCCAGGATTTTTTTTTCTGGGAGGGGCTCCGGGGGGCGCTCATAAATTAAACTTAACCCCCTACCTTACCTGGACCTGTGCCGATCCTCCTCTCCGTGGACTGGGGGACTTCTGGGTCACTTTGGACGAGTTTTGGTCAGGCATTCCTACCTACCCCTTCCCAAGGCACGCCTCTGCACGAGTTTACCATCCTGCCGGTGGGAACTCCAGGGCTTGAGGTGGGCGATCCCGCAGGCCAGCCCTGGTAGAGTTCAGCAAGAGCAGCTCCCGCCAATGCATGTGACTCCGCCCTGTCCTGCTGTGCTCTCCGCCTTCCACTTGCTCTCCCCACTGGGCTGCAAGTAAGAAGAGGCACCCCCCGGAGCCTTGTGCGGCCTGCGGAGGGGGGCAGGGGGGGAGAGCTTGAGCCGCACCGGCCCAAAGCTATTTCCGTAACCCTCCTTCCTTCCACTCACCCCTCGCTGGCTTTTCCTGCTGCTGTGGCTCTGCATAATCGATAGGGGGCTCAGCCCCCAAAGCCCCACCGCTGGCTATGGCCCTGCTTTCAGTTCTTTTCAGCCTGGGGCCTCTCTGCCTACCCTGCTTCTGCTGGTGTCATTATCTTAGCTGCTCTTGTGTCACAAACCCCAACAACCTGTTTGGTGAGATTATGGGCTTACTGCTCTGGATGGATAATGTCCCTGTCAGGATCACATCTATTGAAGCGCGCTCTCTCTCTCTCTCTCTCTCTCTCTCTCTCTCTCTCTACCTCTCTCTACCTCTCTCTACCTCTCTCTCTCTGTGTGAAAATGAAACCAGACAGTAAAAATCAGGTCAGAAGACTTCAGACTACTGAATAGTTCTGAATAGTGTCTGAATAGTTGTGTTCACTCTGAGCATTTGTAGTCTTAAAAATGCAGGGTGTTTGAACCAGACCTTCTTTGATTAATTTCCATCTTTACATTGTGGATAGAAATTCATTTAAGTGGGCCCCAGTGACCCTTAGCGAACAGGTGCTGAGTCATACTATGTTCTTTGCTGTGTGACGCCAGGCGCCCCATTGATAAGCCGCAGCTCTTCACCAGCCTCTCAGAACCAGGATTTCAGAGCTAAAATACTGACTCTTTAACGAGGTACGTGGGCTAATTACATGCCGTAAGTCTAGACGCTCCTGGAATGGTGGCATTTATTTATAATCTCCTGCGTTCGCTGGAGTGTGTGTGCCAGGCCTCTGGCTTCCGTGGATGCAGCAGCATTATTAATAGCTCTAACGTGGCGCATTTCATCTCTAGAGCTCTTTGGAGAGGGAGAGTATAATTAATTAATCATTTAATGCTTAGCAGCACTTACCGCCTCGCAGCTCTCCACGCGCACAAAGCAGCGCGTAGACGTTAAGCACCTTGGCGTATTTAACTCTCCAATCGTATCAAATGCAGTCTGGTGCCAGCACAAGGTGGGGGGGGGGAGTGGAGAAGCCCCAACTCCCTGAGCATCTGCTTTTGGGCTGCACATGGCATCCTGCTG